CCCCAAAACCCCAAAACCCCAAAACCCCAAAACCCCAAAACCCCAAAACCCCAAAACCCCAAATCATTACACCTTATTGAAGTAACAGCTCAAAGGAATTCTCGAATATAAATCCAGTCAGAATTTTAGGAATCTTATCATTAAGAATCTTAGCTTGAAAGGGAGGTCTCTTGAACATCGTACTCTGCAGATGGGCAGTAAGGAGGCCAGAACTGGGATACGTTGGAAGCCTCCCCACCGAACTTCTCTTCAATCTGAGATGGATGTGCCAGTGACAAAAATCTATCATCTTTTAGTTCTCCCGTCATAATCGTCTTGTGCTTAATGATCTTATCAAGGAATGGAGATACCATTGTCCAAATTGCTCTTAACCCAAATGTTACGTTGAAGTAGAAGAACATTCTGACTCTGCATTTGAGATGCTCTTGAGCTTCAGTCATGATTTTCTTCAATGTTTTGGTTGGAAGCTTTGTAAGAGAAAGTCCACAATAGTCTGCAACGAAAAGCCAGTTCTCAACTTTACCCTTGCATAGGAAGTTCTCTATCAAATAGAAGCATACAAACCAATTCATGAACACTCCATCATCTACCTCACATCCTAGCTTGTTGATAACTCCAAGGTTAGCACAGCAGATAGGTCTGAGACACTTATCTCTTCCATGGATATAAATATATCCTTCATCGAGCATGTTCTTATGAGTCTCATTCAACACCATTGGCTTGATCTTCTTCCTCCACTCAAGATGGGAGTGGATGTTGGTGATTGTATCTTTAATTTTAAAATGATTAGTCACTAAGAATCTAGAGTTGAGCACTTTATACCTTACCTCATACATCTTCTTTTATCCATTTCATCTGGAACGCCACCATTTGCTTCGAACTGTTCAATAAGCTGCTCATAAGCTTCTTCCTCCTTCTCGGTATATGGACCTTCGATTGGGTAGATCATTCTTTCCTTCTCATCTTTCCCATGGTTAAAGAATATGGTCCAGTCTTCAGGAGTGTATCTATCCACAATATCTGGCTTAGCTGCTTCTGGATCAATGTAGTAGTAAATGTAATCTAGAAAAATGTAAGATTCCTGCTATGAGAAGTTGCTATTTAATCCTCAAGGTTCTTACCTTCTTTTTCAACAAGGTCAACCATGTCTGGGGTGATACAGGTGTCCTTAATATCGACATCGTCGTAATCAACTTCTACGGTTTCCATTTTATTTGAGAAATTAAAAAAATCAATAACTGGAGCCCTCACTGGGGTTTTGGGGTTTTGGGGTTTTGGGGTTTTGGGGTTTTGGGGTTTTGGGG